CGGCAACCACAGCCTCAACCGCAATCGCAGCCACAGCCCCAACCACAGCCCCAGCCCCACCACAGCCCCAACCACCACAGCCCCAACCACAGCCCCAACCACAGCCCCAACCACAGCTTCAGCCCCAACCACAGCCCCAGCCACAGCCCAGCCCCCAGCCCCCAGCCACAGCCCCAGCCACACCCCAACCACAACCCCACCACAGCCCCAACCCCAGCCCCAACCACAGCCCCAACCAACCACAGCCCCCAGCCACAGCTTCAGCCACCCCAGCCACAGCTTCAGCCCCAGCCACAGCCTCAACCGCAACCACAGCCCCAGCCACAGCTTCAGCCCCAGCCACAGCTTCAACCCCAACCCAGCCCCAACCCCAACCACAGCCTCAACCCAAGCCCCAACCAGCCCAACCGCAGCCCCAACACCTTCAACCACAGCTTCAACCGCAACCACAGCCCCAACCTCAACCACAGCCTTCAGCCCCCAGCCCCAGCCTCAACCGAAACCACAGCCCCAACCACAACCCCAACGACAACCCAACGACAGCCACAGCCCCAACCACAGCCACAACCCCAACTCCAACCCCAACCTCAACCACAGCCCCACACCACAGCGACTTGTAATAAGTAGCTCCATTCTTTCAAAGAGGACAAAGCAATCCCTTCCAGGTCTCCTGTATGACATCAGATGGTTCATTAATATTGAATAATGAATTCTGTTTTCTGTATCTGTACTTTGCACACAACTCTTCTGTTTTATTCCGTCGGCTTCTAACAAAGATTCACCCTATTTTTTGGAAGCTTTGTGATTAGAGGGTGTACCACAACCCAGAATGGCCAACCCTCCGGTCCTGAGCATGTACCGAAGCAGCTGGCGCTGAGTGAAGCTGAACTGGAGGAACTCGCTCCCAGATCTCAGGATTCTGGACCACGACTGCTCTCCAGAATGAAGAAGAGACTCCGGTGAGCGCTAACGTACTAACATGGCATGCACCCGCTATACCACTTATAGCGCCGCTCTGGGGCGGACTGAAAACTCATGGGGCCCCCGGGCAATAGGGGATCATGGGGCCCCTGTGTCCTTGCCCAAACTCAAAAAAGCCTATGAAAAAGGTACCAGGGGCATCTCATAGGGCTCCCTACTGACCCTGGGCCCTCGGGCAGTGCCCGAGTTTCCAAATGGTCAGTCCGCCCCTGGCGCCGCTCATCTCTATATCAATCTCTGTGATTAAGCCCCTGATTGGCGGGGCGATATGCATCAGGAGGAGCTCAAAGCTGAGGCCGTTCACATTTCTTTTCTCCTATTGAGCTAGTGGTGTGCGGTGTATTTGGTCCCCTCATAGCATGAACCCGGGCAAATTGCAAACATCTCTCATCTACACTGTATCTGCCAGGAGCTGGACAAAAAAAATTGTAAGGTAAAAAAATGTGCAGTTACAGGGAAATAGGCCTTCAGAAGAATATACACATAAATTCATTTGACTAGAACAGGGATCTGCAACCTTTCTATACAAAGGACTTTAGGGGCTGGACTGTGGCCAGTGGGATTAAATAGTGCCCCATCATTGGTGTTAGTGGGAGGAATAGTGCCCCATCATTGGGTATCAGTGGGGGGAATAGTGCCCCATCATTGGTATCAGTGGGGGGAATAGTGTCCCATCATTGGTATTAGTAGGAGGAATAGTGCCCCATCATTGGTGTCAGAGAGAGAAATAGTGCCCCATCATTGGTATCACTGGGAGGAATAGTGTACCATCATTGGTATTAGTGGGAGGAATAGTGCCCCATCATTGGTGTCAGTGGGAGGAATAGTGCCCATCATTGGTGTTATGGGAGGAATAGTGTCCCATCATTGGTGACAGTGGGAGGAATAGTGCCCCATCATTGATATTAGTGGGAGGAATAGTGCCCCATCATTGGTGTCAGTGGGAGGAATAGTGCCCCATCATTGATATTAGTGGGAGGAATAGTGCCCCATCATTGGTGTCAGTGGGAGGAATAATGCCCCATCATTGGTGTCAGTGGGAGGAATAGTGCACCATCATTGATATTAGTGGGAGGAATAGTGCCCCATCATTGGTGTCAGTGGGAGGAATAGTGCCCCATCATTGGTGTCAGTGGGAGGAATAGTGCCCCATCATTGGTGTCGGGGGAGGAATAGTGCCCCATCATTGGTGTCGGTGGGAGGAATAGTGCCCCATCATTGGTGTCGGTGGGAGGAATAGTGCCCCATCATTGGTGTTAGTGGGGAGGAATAGTGCCCCATCATTGGTGTCAGTGGGAGGAATAGTGCCCCATCATTGGTGTCAGTGGGAGGAATAGTGCCCTATCATTGGTGTCTGTGGGATGGAATTGTGTGCCATTATTGGTATTAGTGGGAAGGATAGTGTCCCAATATTGGTGTCAGTGGAAAGATTAGTACCCCATCATTGTTGACTGTGGGAGGAATAGTACCTAATCTTTGATGTCAGTTGGAGGAATAGTGCCCCATTGTTGGTATCAGTGAGAAGGAATAGTGCCCCATCATTGGCATCAATGGAAGGAAAAATGAGCCATCATTGATATCAGTGGAAGGAACCATGCCCCATCGTCGATATTAGAGGGAGGAGTCCCATCATTGGTGTCTGTGGGAGGAATAGTACCCTATCTTTTGTGTCAGTCAGAGGAATGGTGCCCCATTGTTGGGTGTCAGTGGGAGGAATAGTACCCCATCGTTGGTGTCAGTGGGAGGAATAGTGCCCCATCATTGGTGTCAGTGGGAGGGATAGTGCCCCATCGTTGGTGTCAGTGGGAGGGATAGTGCCCCATCGTTGGTGTCAGTGGGAGGAATAGTGCCCCATCGTTGGTGTCAGTGGGAGGAATAGTGCCCCATCATTGGTATCAGTGGAAGGAATAGTGCCCCATCATTGGTATCAGTGGAAGGAATAGTGCCCCATCATTGGTATCAGTGGAAGGAATAGTGCCCCATCATTGGTATCAGTGGAAGGAATAGTGCCCCATCATTGGTATCAGTGGAAGGAATAGTGTGCCCATCTTTTGTGTCAGTGGAGGAATAGTGCACCATCTTTTGTGTCAGTGGGAGGAATAGTGCACCATCTTTTGTGTCAGTGGGAGGAATAGTGCACCATCTTTTGTGTCAGTGGGAGGAATAGTGCACCATCATTGGTGTCAGTGGGAGGAATAGTGCCCAATCACTGGTATCAGTGAAAGGGATAGTGCACCATCATTGGTATCAGTGGAAGGCATAATGCTCCATTATTGGTGTCAGTAGAATGAATTATGCTTCATCGTTGGTGTCAGTGGAAAGAATTATGCTCCAGTGGCGGCTTGTTAGACCACAATCCCTAGCTTCAGCGTGCTGTTCTGCATGTTTGGTTACATGCATTTGTAATACATTTCCAGCATGTTTGCAGTACGTTGGGGTGTGTTTGCGGTGTGTTTTTCGCAGTTATTTATGAAAACACATTAAACTGCATCTGGTGTAAACGAGCCCACAGTGTCAAGGAAAATACGCAATGGGGTCTGAGGCTCAACCAGAAAACTATCCACATGGAGTTTACATGTTCCCCCTGTGCTTGCATGGGTTTGCTCTTCTGGACACTCTGGTTTCCTCCCACACTTCAAAGACATGTTTGCAGGATACTTGGCTTCTATCTAAATTTGCCCTAGTACAGTTGCAAGAAAAAGTATGTGAACCCCTTGGGATTACGTGGAGTTTTGCATGAATTGGGCATAAAATGTGCTCTGAACGTCATCTAAGTCACAACAATAGAAGAACACAGTCTGCTGAACATAATACTGCACAAACATTAGATGTTGCCATGGTTTAATTGCACATAACATGTAAACATTCACAGTGCAGGGAGGAAAAAGTATGTGAGGCCCTAGCTTAATGACTTCTCCCAGAGATAATTGGAGCCAGGAGTGAGCCAACCTTGACTCCAATCAGTGTGATGATATTGGATGTGTTGCTGACAGCTGTCCTGCCCTTAAAAAACACACACCTGTTTTGGGTTTACTGGTTTCAAGAAGCACTGTCTGATGTGAACCATGCCTCGCAGAAAAGAGCTCTCAGAAGACCTACGATCAAGAATTGTTGACTTGCATGAAGCTGGAAATGGTTACAAAAGTATCTCCAAAAGCCTTGATGTCCATGTGTCCACGGTAAGACAGATTGTCTACAAATGGAGAAAGTTTAGCACTGTTGCTACTCTCCCTAGGCGTGGTCGTCCTGTAAAAATGTTATGTGCAATTAAACCATAGCAACATCTAATGTTTGTGTAGTATTATGTTCAGCAGACTGTGTTCTTCTATTGTTGTGACTTAGATGACGTTCAGAGCACATTTTATGCCCAATTCATTCAAAACTCCATGTAATCCCAAGGGGTTCACATACTTTTTCTTGCAACTGTAAGTGTGTGTGTCTGGGGGAAAGGGATCGCGATCTGTTCAAATCAATCATTCTGTTTTGGGTTTCTGTACACTTTCCAGCTGCTGCAGGCTGGCAGTGGATGGTGGTAATAACACTAGCTCTGCACATACAAAGTCTTGACTCTGGAAATGAATGTTACATTTAGTGAACACGTATAAATAGTTTTAAGTTGGCAGTTTTCCCGATCCAGAATCCCATTCCATACAATATTTAAGATACATCTGTGTTTCCATTATTCATATATTACTTTATATGTGTTTATTACTTCTTTATCACATTGCTGGTAATGTGACAGGAGGATTGCCTACCCCAGACATATGTCGGTGTAGCCGGGGTGGAATTCTCACAGCACCGGAGGTTTTAGCTCCAACAACTGAGCTGTGTCTATTCCCTGACGTCTCCTCATTTCCACCCACTGTTATAATCCGGCTTAGTGGGGGAATACTGCGGAGATAATTCTAGGTGCGCCTAATAACCTGCTTTGCTCACGCTGCATTTCTTTGTATTCCAGATGTTCTGGGACGGTGGTGAAATCCCTTCTCCTGAAACTTATTCCGATACTTAGCTGGCTGCCGCGATATCCTGTCAAAGAGTGGCTGGTGGGGGATATAATATCCGGGATCAGCGTTGGTATCATCCAACTACCACAAGGTACAGAATTCAGGCTATAAAGAGAACCGGTCATGATTGGGTTTATACAAGAATATGAGTATTCAGACTAAAATGGTTACAGATTTGCCCCATTAGATTTACATTGACCCTCTAGCTTGAGAGATGGGTTCAGCGATCACCTGAAATCTGAGAGTTGCTGCACTGTCTACTTCCTGACTTCAGTCATTGCCTCCCACCTTCTAATTGTGTAAAATGCTACCCCATGTGTGTCATATTGTTATGCTACCCCCTGGTAGGCTTATCCAAGTAAGTTGGTATCACATACCTGGTGTTAGAGACCAATGGAGAGAGGGCTTCCCTTGCGGCTGAGGTCCAGACTTCCCTGGATATGGGACAGAAGGAGTCAGCCCCACGGGTCGCCTGTAGGAACACTTGTCAAAGGTACACCCAGGAGCACAGCTGATGTACTGGAATGATGTCTGCAGACAGGTGGTGCCCGTGAGAGGTATGCAGGCCTTCAGGGTAGCAGAGGACCACAGAGTAGTAGGTTCAAAGCCAAGGTCAGATGCCAGGTGGAGATTGGAGCAGAAGTAGTCATTAGGATAGCCAGGGTCATACACACAGGAGAGCGGGTGAGAATATCTATTAGCCAAGCCGAGGTCAGATCAGGAGAGCGGGTGAGAATATCTATTAGCCAAGCCGAGGTCGATCAGGAGAGCGGGTGAGAATATCTATTAGCCAAGCCGAGGTCAGGTCAGGAGAGCGGGTGAGAATATCTATTAGCCAAGCCAAGGTCCGATCAGGAGAGCGGGTGAGAATATCTATTAGCCAAGCCGAGGTCAGATCAGGAGAGCGGGTGAGAATATCTATTAGCCAAGCCGAGGTCAGGTTAGGCCGAGAGAGCGGGTGAGAATATCTATTAGCCAAGCCGAGGAGAGCGGGTGAGAATATCTATTAGCCAAGCCGAGTCAGGTCAGAGCGGGTGAGAATATCTATTAGCCAAGCCGAGGTCAGATCAGGAGAGCAGGTGAGAATATCCGTTCGCCAAGCCAGGGTTAGATCAGGAGTCAGGCAGAGAACACAGGCCTAGGAACAAGCCAAATTGGTAACAGGAGATCACAGTAGCAAGGGAACACGGACAAAGGTACTGGGGAGTCAGGGATCAACCAGCAATTTGAGGGAGAGATGGGCTTCCTTATAAAGGCTGTCTGCCGCCAAACTGAGCTAATGCGTGCGTAACTATGCGCCAGTGCGCATGCGTGTTCCGACTCGCGTCCATGCGCCAATGTGCATAGATTTTCACCAGCGTGCATTTCTGCGGCCATGCAAGGTACTGGCAGCAATGCCAGGTCCCTGAGTACCTCTGCTGTGGACAGAGCCCTGACAGTTGGCTGTCACCATAAAAAGTATGATTGGCCTGAAACCCTAAATGCCCCTGGTTTTCTTTGTTGCATACTAGTACCTAGGATTGCCTCACTAAGGAGCTGCTAAACATAGGAGCTATGGTGCAGAGACTGTTCACAGAGTGACAGGCAAAAGAACAGTCCGGTCCAGGAAGAGGTCAAGGCAGGCAAGACAGTAGTCCGATCCAGGTAAAGGTCATGGCAGGCAACAGAGTAGACAGGTCCAAGCAGAGGTCGAGGCAGGCATGAGAGTAGACAAGTTCAAGCAGAGGTTGAGGCAGGCAAGAGTGTAGTCAGATCCAGGCAGAGGTCAAGACAGGAAAAAAAAAAAAGTAGTCGGGTCCAGGCAGAAGTCAAGGCAAGCAAAAGAGTAGTTAAGTCCAGGCAGAGGTCAAGGCATGCAGCAGGAAAAAGAGTAGTGAGGTCCAGGCAGAGGTCGAGGAAGGCATGAGGGTAGATAAGTCCAGGCAGAACCTGTGGCAGGCAAAAGAGTAGTCAGATCCAGGCAAGAGGTCAAGGCAGGCAACTGGAAAGAGAGTGGACAGGTTCAGGCAGAGGCCAAGGCAGGTAGGCAAAAAAGTAGTCAGGCCCAGACAGAGGTCAAGGCAGGCAAGAAAGTATTTAGGTCAGAGGAAGGGGTCAAGTCAGGCAACTGGCAAGAGAGTAGTCAGGGCCAGGCAGAAGCCAAGGCAAGCAAAAACGTAGTCGGCCAAGGCAGAAGTTGAGGCAGGCAAAAGAGAATTCAGGTCAAGGCAGAGGTAAAGGCAGGCAGCAGACAAGAGAGTAGTCAGACCTAGGCAGGGGTTAATGCAGGAAAGAAAGTATTCTGGCCCAGGTAGAGGGCAGGCTGTCCTCAAGAGAGTAGTCAGGACCAGGCAGAGGTTGAGGCAGGCAAAAAAAGTAGTCAGGCAGAGGTTGAGGCAGGCAAAGAAGTAGTCAGGTCAAGGCAGGCAGCAGACAAGAGAGTAGTCAGGTCCAGACAGAGTTCAAGGCAGGCAAGAAAGTATTCAGTTCTAGGCAGAGGTCAAGGCAGGCAAGTGAGTATTCAGGTCCAGGTAGGTGTCAAGGCAGTGATAGGCAAGTGAATAGAGGCAGAGGTTGAAGCAGGCAACAGAGTAGTCAGGTCCAGGCAGGGGTTGCAGTAGGCAAGAGAGTATTCAGATCCAGGCAGAGGTCAAGAATATAGTCAAGTCCAGGCAGGGGTCACAACAGGCAAGAGAGTAGTCAGGTCCAAGCAGGTTTTGAGGCAGGTGAGAGGATAGTCAGGTCAGGCAATCCGGGTCAGCAATTGGCAGGTAATGGCACATTTTGTATCCTGGAAGTGCTGAAGTTCTTGGGAATCCCAGAGATCTTGAGGACCCTGAACATTCTGGAAGTATAAGCATCGTAACACATATCATAGTTTACATAACCTCTTTACATCATTGACACCATTTTAGAATCTGGGAGACAGCCCAGGTAATTCACAAGGCAGCAATTCAGGTGACACCTGACCACTAAATATCAAGGTTCTTCTTCATTGTTCTGTTAAATAAGAAGTCTGCATCTCCCACCACGTTACAGAATGTTTGAGGACAGGCAAAAGTCTTAGAAGATGTGTAGTTTGTTGCCAAAGTATAAATCTATATAATTTCCATGTGGTTTCTGTGTTGGTGTTGTGTAGGGTTAGCGTACGCCCTGCTGGCCGGAGTCCCCCCAGTCTTTGGTCTGTACTCCTCATTCTATCCTGTACTTCTTTACTGCATATTCGGCACATCCCGACACATCTCTGCAGGTAAGTACAGTGTTCTAGGTTTCTGTATGCTTCATGTTTGCCAATAAAATTCTATAAAAATAATTGAAAGCAGTTTGTGACACGTTTTACCTGTTCTACCACATTATATGGCGTAAAGTTCATGTACTCCTATCTGGTGTGGTTCCCCACTAACATACCACTCTGTGATCCAATGCCGGTCCTCCAGTGCCCGGGACATCAAGGATATGCCCCTAGATGTGTGTCAAAGGGCCCTGGGCTCACAGGAGAATGCTGCAGGGAACAGCACTCATACCATTATGTTAGCCTTCAGGATTGCCCATTGCTGGAGAAAGAAGAGGATCCCTAATGTATACTTACCAACATTATGGGCCCGGAATCCCTCCACTTTTCTGGTCGGTAGAACAAAAACCATGCCCACCTTGTAGGTTCATCCTGCCCACACCCTTCCTCTAAATTTACATGGACAGTGTTGGGAATGCAACAGCATATACTATAATGTACTATATATAGTATTGTATGTTAATATCACTTGACCAGTAGATGGCACTGTACACTAAGGTTACCAGTTGTGCATATGTGTAAAACTTGTTGGTTTCTCTCTCTTCCTCTCTTCAGGAAGTAAGATGTCTGCTATCACTGTCTGCTGAAATGTGCTCTGTATGATTGTAACTTAAGTCACACAAGTAAAACAGAATTCTGCCTCATCACAAGCTACCAGTGTCTTTAACACATAACCAACAGACAGCCCACCATTCTTCCGTTATGGGTTGGTCCCACCCAGACCCTGTCTCTTAATATGCAGGGGCTGCCCACTTGGGGATCTCAGTGCTGATATGAATGCCTTTTTGATTTACTCTGCATGTGCCGTAATTCCTTTGGATAAGGGGGTACCACCAGTCCTGTAAGTGGCCCAGGCCAGCAGAGGGGGCCCAGCTTCCTGGTTGAATCAGATATGGGCAGGGATGGTGATTGGCACGGCGGGGGGTGGGGGGCAAGTACTGGAACCGATCCCCTGTATGGCTCTCTCTGCAGTAGCTGAAAGCTGGCTTCATGTCCCTCCCACTGGCTTTCAGCTGCTGCAGAGAAAGCCATACAGGAGATATGTTCCAGTAACTGCTCCCCCCCCCCCCCCCCACCACACCACTCATTACCCTCCATGTTCACCATATGTCCCCCCCCCCCCAGGCCCCTCTATGTGCCCCCTACCCCAAAAGTGCTGCCAGTTTCCCTCTTTCCCACCAGCAGCTGCAAGCACATAATAGGATCCTTCAGGATGGAGTGAGGGGGAAGGGTCCGGTAAATATGGCACATTTATCAGCCCCTTTCTTTCCTGAATGAACACAATGAGTGATCTGTATTAATCACTCGCCGTGTTCATTCATAACTGAAGCATGATAAACTTTTTTGTTTTTTTGGGGGAAAGGGGGGGGGGGGGGGGGGCTGTCAGGTTGGCTGTATGAGGCCCTGTGGTTTCCAACGCAGCCCTGCGTAATGCTAACAAGGTTGATGCTGTGATTCCTGGACATGGCCCTGGACACAACATTGGCAGGACAGAGCAACTAGATGCTGGGCTCTTATGTGACTGGATCAAAGACCCATAAATAAAGGTAGAGGGAGGGAAAACTGGGGGATGGGGGTTCAAATAAGCTGGAACTATGCTTTCAAATGGTAAAAATCTGTCCTAAGTGCAGACACCACAATCTGGATAACTCTTGGCTAAGAACTGTCAACTGCCATTCTCTAGTATGAGTACCTGTACTGGGATCACTAAGCAGTGTTGTTAGATATTGGAATGGCAGTTGATGGAACATTAAAGTGGTCGTAAACCCCCACTTATAGCCAGTGAAGTGACTGGCCTCCGGTAATAAAACTGAAACACATTCTTCTACATCAGTTGTACCTGTTTATCTGCAGTCTTCTCTTCTCAACCTCCATTCAAAATGATATATAATTTATAAAGCTTGTCTGAGAGTTCAGAAAAAAAAAGGGGGTCGGAGAGCTGAAGTTACACTCACTCAGTGCGTAGAGCTCTGAGAGCTGATTTGGAGGGGAGGGACACACACCCTCCTTTACACATCATACAGAAACAGAGCTGAGGCTGTCAATCACAGGGTGTGTGCTGACCCCCACCCCTGTCACCATTTCTTTTCTCTCTCCTGGTGTCAGGAAAACTTGCCAAAGTGATTCATGCAGATAGCAGAGGAACAAAGCAGACAGACTTGAGACAAAAAACACTTAGGTGCTTTGGATTGAGACAAATGCACGCTGTAGAGGGATATGCGTTGTTCATATTTCATGATTGAGGTTTGCAACCACTTTAAGGAAAATGTATGTGTGTACAATAAAGGTATCACGTTTTTTTTTTTTTGTGTGTGGAACACAGGTTTAGATGGCTGTAAAGCGCTGCGCAAACGGTATAATAATATATTAATTATACGTCTTGAACTTTAAATGCGTTGTCAGCATTTTTGCCCTTTCTTTCCCCTCCCCCTGCAGGGACCTTCGCTGTCATCTCTGTGATGGTCGGAAGTGTGACGGAGTCCCTGGCACCATCTGACAGTTTTCTTCTGCCGGGCAATGACTCGAAGGTGGATGAGGAAGAGAGGGATGCTGCCAGGGTTCAGGTGGCATCAGCCTTAACCTTGTTGGTTGGAATATTTCAAGTGAGGATTGCATCATATTGGTGGTTTTTTTTATATAAATTTTTTTTTCTTTATATGATTTTTTTTTTTTTTAACAAGTGAAGTTTATTCATAGAGGCAGAACATATAAGCAGCAAGAAAACAATATAAAAGTGCAGCGCTAGAAAAAAATATAAATGTGTCACAATAGATAAAAGTGATCAAAAAAAGTCCCAACAACGGTGACCTAGGGTAACAATGCACACTAACCAGAAGTGCACATTATAAGTGCAATGTAGAAAAGATGGAGTTCATAGAGTAGTCATCAGCATGGAAAGGGTAGATGCATTCCCTTGGTCAGAGAAGATCCTCACGATGGTACAGAGCTGGGCAGAAGAAATCCACTAGATGGTAGAAAACGATCACTGCTCCACTCAAAAGAGCACTGTTCCTCCACTGTGCAAAAATGATATCTGGGAGAGCACAGAGAAACACACATGTGAAAGAACAGCAAGGAGTGGGGAGCACCTTTCTCCCAGATATCGTTTTTGCACAGTGGAGGAACAGTGCTCTTTTGAGTGGAGCAGTGATCGTTTTCTACCATCTAGTGGATTTCTTCTGCCCAGCTCTGTACCATCGTGAGGATCTTCTCTGACCAAGGGAATGCATCTACCCTTTCCATGCTGATGACTACTCTATGAACTCCATCTTTTCTACATTGCACTTATAATGTGCACTTCTGGTTAGTGTGCATTGTTACCCTAGGTCACCGTTGTTGGGACTTTTTTTGATCACTTTTATCTATTGTGACACATTTATATTTTTTTCTAGCGCTGCACTTTTATTTTATTTTCATGTGAGGATTATTTTGGTTATGCTGTGTGCCTTAGCTGCTTGTACATTTAAAGCGCTCACTTATTATTTTCTGTTTTATATATAAACAGCAAGGAACTTGATTTGATAATTCTAATTTGCAACAATTCATGACCACATGCAGCACAGTTGTATGTGTTTTATTTGTTTGTCAGTTGTTTAGAACCTTCAGAGATTTCTATCTTTCTCATCTCCGTGTCTCTGTTGGCAGATCTTGTTGGGTCTGATGCAGTTCGGCTTCGTGGTGACGTACCTTTCGGAGCCTCTGATTCGTGGTTACACCAGTGCAGCGGCTGTTCATGTGGTTGTGTCTCAGGTGAAGAGCATTCTGGGAGTAAAGATCAACCAAAGGAGCCACCCGCTGTCCCTCATCTATGTAAGACCCTATGGTATTATACAACTGCCATATACGAAGTGTCACATATATTCTGCACTATGTGCAGCTCTTGTGCTTCATTGTTTAATAACGGGGCTGGATCTGGTCTGGGGGTGCAGCAAAAAAAAAAGTCAGGGACCATAATCTCAGCACTGTGTGTGAGTCACTGACAATCTGTCACCGTGTCATGACCTGGGAGACATTAGTGTGTATTAGGTTGTCATTAGATTATGTTGAATAAACAGAACCTGTGCCCCCCTTGTATCAGATGTACCTAGAATAGCCCCTCTTTACATCATGACTACTCAGCAGAGTCCTCTTTTACATCAGGTGCCCATCAGAGTGCCCCCTTACATCAAGTGTCCCCATCAGAGTGCCCCCTTACATCAGGTGTCCCCATCAGAGTGCCCCCTTACATCAGGTGTCCCCATCAGAGTGCCCCCTTACATCAGGTGTCCCCATCAGAGTGCCCCCTTACATCAGGTGTCCCCCATCAGAGTGCCCCCTTACATCAGGTGTCCCCCATCAGAGTGCCCCCTTACATCAGGTGTCCCCCATCAGAGTGCCCCCTTACATCAGGTGTCCCCCATCAGAGTGCCCCCTTACATCAGGTGTCCCCCATCAGAGTGCCCCCTTACATCAGGTGTCCCCCATCAGAGTGCCCCCTTACATCAGGTGTCCCCCATCAGAGTGCCCCCTTACATCAGGTGTCCCCCATCAGAGTGCCCCCTTACATCAGGTGTCCCCCATCAGAGTGCCCCCTTACATCAGGTGTCCCCCATCAGAGTGCCCCCTTACATCGGGTGTCCCCCATCAGAGTGCCCCCTTACATCGGGTGTCCCCCATCAGAGTGCCCCCTTACATCGGGTGTCCCCCATCAGAGTGCCCCCTTACATCGGGTGTCCCCCATCAGAGTGCCCCCTTACATCGGGTGTCCCCCATCAGAGTGCCCCCTTACATCGGGTGTCCCCCATCAGAGTGCCCCCTTACATCGGGTGTCCCCCATCAGAGTGCCCCCTTACATCGGGTGTCCCCCATCAGAGTGCCCCCTTACATCGGGTGTCCCCCCATCAGAGTGCCCCCTTACATCGGGTGTCCCCCATCAGAGTGCCCCCTTACATCGGGTGTCCCCCATCAGAGTGCCCCCTTACATCAGGTGTCCCCCATCAGAGTGCCCCCTTACATCAGGTGTCCCCCATCAGAGTGCCCCCTTACATCAGGTGTCCCCCATCAGAGTGCTCCCTTACAAGGGTGTATCTACTGTGAGGCAAACAAGCGTTTGTCTAGGGTGGCAATTTTTAGGCGGGTGAGAGAGAGAAAGAGAGAGAGGGGGAGAAAGAGGGAAGAGTGAGAAGAAAGAGAGAGGGGGGGAGAGAGGGGGGGGGAGGGAGAGAGAAGAGAGAGAGGGGGGAAGAGAGAGAGGAGGAGAGGGGAAAGAGAGAGGGAGGGGGGAGAGAGAGAGGGGGGGAGGGGGGGGAAAGAGAGAGGGAGGGGGGAGAGAGAGAGAGGGGGGGGGAGAGAGGAGACCACTGCTGTATGCTAATGAAATACTTGAATTGGCAGATGTGGAATATCGAAGACTTTTGCCTTAATGTATAAGTCCCCGGGTGTAACTTGGCATGCTATTTGTATGCCATGCGACACTTGCAAATCACATGGTAAGTCGCACCCTATTGCCAGCAATTACAGTGTCAATTACAGTCATTTCGGTGCGGTTCCGACTTGGTTGCATGCATTACTTTTGGTATGATTTGCAGAGACATCTGTGTCAGATGTCTTGCAAATTGCACCTCAAGTCGACAAGTGATCCGACTTTGAAATTGAGCAGCTTTTCTGTAAGGCGCACAATTTCAAAGTCGGGCTCGGTGTGACCGGGGTGTAAGGGTCACATATGGAGTTATTTAACAAAAGTACTGTACCCAGAGAAGCCAATCAGAATCTCTCTTACAACAGCGACTTTGGTAACTTTAAATTCTGATTGGCTCCTGTTGGTTTTGGCATGTTGCGGTGAGTGGATGGTTCCTTGCACAGTGTATTGAGGATTTCCATTGCTGGGTTTTGTCTTCCACTCCAGACCATCGTGAATATCTGCAGCAAGCTGCCCAAGACGAACGTCGCCTCTCTCATCATCGGTCTCATTGCCATCGCCGTCCTGTTCACAGTGAAGTTTCTAAATGAGAAATACATTTCGAAGATTCGATTTCCTATACCAATCGAGTTGATCACGGTGAGGCTTGTAGCAGAAAATATTTTATTCCAGACATGCATGGTTTTAGAATATACAGCGCAGCAGGATGAATCCTAAACCTGGATGTCTTTAAAGTGAAACTCCACTGCAGATTCTTTTTTGTGTCCTGGAGAAATTTAGGAAGACTTCAATCTGAAATGACCTCGAAGCAGAGCTAAAGCCACATTTAAAAATGCATAGCCCAGTCAGGTTCCATGCACACCAGCTTAAAAAAATGCTCCTAGCAGTAGCTTTTAAGTGTTTTTTTTTTTGGGGGGGGGGGGGTTCCCATTTTGTTTTTTTTTTTTTTTTAAATTTTTCTTGTTGCTGGGCAGATTTTAAACACAAAACGCAGCTAAAATGCCATACATGCTTTTCTGCAGCGTTCCCATTGAAATCTATAGAACCAAAAACGCTGAGTTTTGCTTTAAAAAAAAAAAAAAAAAAAAAAAAAAACCCTGACCCTTTCCAAAAAACGCACCGGGTGAAAACGCGGAGATATGAATCTGTCCCATAGGAAATCATGTTAAATGGACTGTACTGCGTTTCTGCAAAACGCTGCAGGAAACACTGAAGTGTGAACCTGGGGTTATGCGAATTTTGGTGCATTGTTCCATTTTGCAGAAATACACTCCATTTAGCAAGGTTTCCTATGGATCTATTCAGGGGTGGACTGACAACTCATGGGGCCCCCGGGCAATAGGGGATCATGGGGCCCCTGTGTCCTTGCCCAAAAAGCCTATTAAAAAGGTACCAGGGGCATCTCATGGGGCCCCACTACTGACCCCCGGGCCCTCGGACAGTGCCCGAGTTTCCAAATGGTCAGTCCACCCCTGGATCTAGTTCACATTTGTGCACTGATCTGGTGTGTTTTTTTGAAAGGGTCAGGGACTTTTTTCCCCGCAGCAGATTGCGTTTTGCGTGTAATAGACTCTTGCGTTTTTCATGCATTTTGCGGGGGGTTTTTTGCTAATAGGAAATTATGACAAATTAATTTTAATGTAAAAAAAAAATACATAACCCAGTATGTCACGCAGAAATGGGGGGGTGGGGGTTTCAATGCAATTTTTGGGGGAAAAAATGTATTTTAATTAAAAAAAAAAAAACAAACGTAACTCAGTTTTTTTGGGTAAAATATAAAAGATGATGTTAAGCAGAGTTAATAGATACCAAATATCACACTTTAAGACTGCGTATGCTGTGCAGCGGTGACAAGTGACAAACATGTTACTGTCTATATCTGCTATAAAATCGTTTACAGGCTCTTTCACACGGACGTTCCGATCGGGTCCGCCTGCCCGTTTTTCAGGTGGACCTGATCGGAACCTCCATTCTCCTCTCTGGATCGGCGGGTGTAAACGGACATGTGTCCGTTTGAGGGGCAGACTGACAACACATGGGGCCCCTGGGCAATAGGGGATCATGGGGCCCCTGTGTCCTTGCCCAAACTCAAAAAAGCCTATGAAAAAGGTACCAGGGGCATCTTATGGGGCCCCCTACTGACCCCGGGCCCTTGGGCAGTGCCCGAGTTTCCAAATGGTCAGTCCGCCCCTGGTCCGTTTTACACCCATCGACATCCGATCCGCCAAAAAGGGACGGAATGGGGATCCAATTTCCTTTCAGTCCGTCGGATCAAGTCGGATGAAAATGATAGGTGGTCCGTTTTCATCCGACCGCCCATTGAGGAGAGTGAACAGTTCTGTGTCTGTTCTGCAGCAGCGGAGCGGACACAGAGCTGTCATCCGCTTGCTCAGCGGGGATCAGCAGAGGGATCCCCCACATAGCAAGCGGGGGGTCTGACCCATGTGAAAGGACCCTAGCACTTTAGATTTACAGGGGAAGTCTGGTGCTAGAATTACTGCCCATGATCTGACGTTCATGGTGATACCTCACATGCATTGGCGTCACGAGGCAGGTGCGGGAGGTGCGCGCAGCACCAGGTGACACCTACCGCACGGGGTGACACCGGACCCGCTCTACGAAAAGGTAAGTTGTAAAGCAAGCCGACGATCCCTGCAGAATGGATCCGATCTATCCTGTGGGGATCGTCTGCTTTCTTTACAACTTACCTTTTCGTGGAGCGGGTCCGGTGTCACCCCGTATAGGTTGCATGCCGACGATCCCCGCAGGATGGATCGGATCTGCGGATTGAGCATAATGGATTGGAGTCCGATCCATTATCTTCCCCAATCTGCAGATCCGATCCATCCTGTGGGGATCGTTGGCTTTCTTTACAACTTACCTTTTCGTGGAGCGGGTTCGGTGTCACCCCGTATAGGTTGCATGCAACAATCCCCGCAGGATGGATCGGATCTACAGATTTGGGAGGATAATGGATCAGACTCCGATCCATTATGTTCAATCCACAGATCCGATCCATCCTGCGGGGATAGTTGGCTTGCAACCTATATGGAGTGACACCGGACCCGCTCCACGAAAAGGTAAGTTGTAAAGAAAGCCAACGATCCCCGCAGGATGGATCGGATCTGTAGATTGGGGAGCATAATGAGTCTGATCCATTCTGCTCAATCTGCAGATCCGATCCATTCTGCGGGGATCGCCGAAGGGGTGGTCACCAAGTGTTCCCACACCAGGTGACGCCAACCCTAGGGACGTCCGTGCTCACATGTATGGGACAATCGCTGCTTGTGTGCGCACAGGACCAATGCATGGCGCTCACCTTTGCGTGCGAGTGCAGGGAGACAGACCACTTTACAATTTATTTTTTTTATTTTTACACTGTCGCTTTAATTTTTCTCTTTTTAATCACTTTTATTGCTGTCACAAGGAAAGTAAACGTCCCCTGTGACCACAATAGGCAGGGACAATGAGAAAAAAAAAAAAGAGTGATGCGCACACACACACACACACCTAGAAACCTATTAACCAATCAGCATATAATCGCCTATTAAATGTAATAATGAAATAAATAAATATCGATAATAATAACAAAGGCGTATAATGGTGATATCAATACAAGGGCAAACCCACAAATTATAATAAATACTATATAACAATTCCTTACAGCAAAAAACAGAATTGGGATGATGACTGCAGCTGCGGGCATCATCCCGGTATAACAAGTGCGTAGAACCTATATACAGGTACGTTGCTGGTCATCAATTGGTTGAGCGGTTATTAATACAGCTGCTTTTGTTGGGTTTTTTTTTTTAAAACTATATTTGTATAGTGGGTCATTCCACTCACTTTCTATGATCCCAGGTCATCCTGGACCCCCCCCCCCCCACAGCCTGTTTGTACAGTAAAAGGAGCAGCAACACAATGATGAGCTCATCTTTATCTCACTCTGCTCTCTCCGCCTATCAACATGCTTCTTGTTTGTCTATTTTCGGGTCTCAAGTGACACGTTGGACAGCTTCGATTATCAATGAATTCACCTGCAATGTTAAAGTCAGACGGTTATGCAGGCCGTAGACGGGTCGAAAATCGGCCGTTTAAAAAAAAAAAAAAAAAAAATCGGTCGTTCGATCGGCTGACGTTCCCACCAAACGGTAAAAAAAGGCTGATTTTTGTCCCGTCTATGGCTGGCATTTAACCCCATAATTACTTCTGTCCATTGCAGAGACAGGGGAGCAATACATAAGAATAAGAAGAATTGCAGTCCGCTATTATATTTTACATGAAACGTCTTGCGGTTGCAACAATGTATCCATTTGTATCCCTTTGGGATACAGATGTTTTTATTCGGATACAAATAGATACATTGTTGCCACCGCAAGACTTTCATATAAAATATAATCTTCTTATTTCTTCTTTTTTCCTTTTTCTTCTTGCCGGTCACGGCTCATGCGCAGATTTTTTATCGGTAAAACGATCGGCCGATTTGCCCATCATTGCTGGGAAAATCAGCCGATCGTCAAAATCGGCCGCAAATTTTCCAATATGCCCAATTAAAAAAAAAAAAATGTGCAAAAAGCCTGAAAAACAGCCAACCAATTAACCCACTAACGGTGCAAAAATCAGCCAAATTTTTTTTTTTTTTCGGCGGAAAAATCGGTCGATTTTTGACTCGTCTATGGCTGGCATTAGACCTGGTTCACATTAGTGCGATATCGGTGCAACTTGAGTCACAGAGAATCGCATGACGAGGGAAATCACATTATTCAATAGGGTTTGTTCATAGTCCGTACAGAACGATTTTGGAAAGGTTTCTGTGCGATTTCAGTGCAATCATAGCATATGCAAACCGTATCAGAGTTGCATCCAGGTAGCACTAATAGTCAGATCACAATTGTATAGCAGCAGTGTGAACCTAGGCTCAATGTACGTCTCTGCCTTTAGCAATGTCGGGGTACCCAAGTCCTTGTAGATCTTGTACTGTAGGAATGTTGTGTAGCAGATGCACCTGACACCCCGTCTACTCTGTGTTTAGCTAATTGTGGCCACTGGGATCGCGTACGGGGCCGATCTGAACAAAGCGTATGGTGTGGACATTGTCGGAGACATCCCAACTGGGTAAGCACTGAATAATGTATGAGACTAATTAGCTGCAGATAGCAAATGTGTGTAATTAGACTTAAATTGTGAAAGTCTCTCATGTGCAAATTAGCTGAACCAGGAAACTCTGATAAATGGTTGTCTGTGCCCAGCTTGCTTGAAAATTTTGAAGGTCGGTGGTGACCATGATGTACTGCTCTATACCCATGATGTCCTGTACCCGCTCTATACCCATGATGTCCTGTACCGCTCTATACCCATGATGTCCTGTACCTGCTCTGTGCCCATGATGTCCTGTACCTGCTCTACCCATGATGCCCTGTACCTGCTCTGTGCCCATGATGTCCTGTACCTGCTCTGTACCCATGATGTCCTGTACCCGCTCTGTGCCCATGATGTCCTGTACCCGCTCTGTACCCATGATGTCCTGTACCTGCTCTGTGCCCATGATGTCCTGTACCTGCTCTGTACCCATGATGTCCTGTACCCGCTCTGTACCCATGATGTCCTGTACCCACTCTGTGCCCATGATGTCCTGTACCTACCCATGATGTCCTGTACCCGCTCTGTGCCCATGATGTCCTGTACCCGCTCTGTGCCCATGATGTCCTGTACCCGCTCTGTGCCCATGATGTCCTGTACCCGCTCTGTGCCCATGATGTCCTGTACCCGCTCTGTGCCCATGATGTCCTGTACCCGCTCTGTGCCCATGATGTCCTGTACCCGCTCTGTGCCCATGATGTCCTGTACCCGCTCTGTGCCCATGATGTCCTGTACCCCCCTCTGTGCCCATGATGTCCAGTACCTGCCCTGTACACCCATGATGTCCTGTACCTGCCCTGTACACCCATGATGTCCTGTACCTGCCCTGTACACCCATGATGTCCTGTACCTGCCCTGTACACCCCTGATGTCCTGTACCTGCCCTGTACACCCCTGATGTCCTGTACCTGCCCTGTACACCCCTGATGTCCTGTACCTGCCCTGTACACCCCTGATGTCCTGTACTTGCCCTGTACACCCTGTACGCCCTGTACACGCTCTGTACACCCATGATGTCCTGTACCTGCTCTGTACACCCATGATGTCCTTACCTGCTCTGTACCCATGATGTCCTTTCAGTGGTGTATTTTGGCTTTGTGCTTCCCTAGGCAAGACTAAAATCGTGCCCCCCCCCCCCCCCCAATCTAAATTTGTCCCATCCCTTCCTGTTTAGGATCCATCTCTTCATCTGTAAACTCCGCCCCTTCTGCTTTAGGCTCCACCTGCTTCATATTAGCGCTGCCACCTGCAGGAGACGGAGACTGGCACAGAGACTGTGCACAGGAGACGGTCAGAGACTGTGCACAGGAGACAGAGAGTGAGGACGACTGTGCACAGAGACTGTGCACAGGAGACGGTCAGAGACTGTGCACAGGAGACGGTCAGAGACTGTCAGAGACTCAGAGACTGTGCACAGGAGACGGTCAGAGACTGTGCACAGGAGACGGTCAGAGACTGTGAGACGGTCAGAGACTGTGTGCACAGGAGACGGTCAGAGACTGTGCACAGGATACAGGAGACGGTCAGAGACTGCAGACAGGATACAGAGACTGCGGACAGGATACAGGAGACAGTCAGCGACTTAGGACATAGTACAGGAGATGGTCAGAGACTACGGTGGACAGGATACAGGAGAGATCAGAGACTGCATACATCTTAAAGGAGACGGTCAGAGACTGCGGACAGGATACAGGAGACGGTCAGAGACTGTGAACCAGCTGGAGAGGCCTGGTTTATACCAAGCACTATGGAAGACTGGTTTGCCTACAGACATTAGATGGGTGCTGCACAACCCGTTAGACCTTGAAGCCACTCAAAGAGTTAATAGGACTCATCCCAGTGCTGGCACTGTGTCCACCAATTCACAATATAAAATACAATGAAGTCGTTTCACACTTGCCAAAATGTTCTAGTCTACATCAAGCTTTCACCAATATAGTTAAACTTCCAGAACCTCAGAGAAGACTCAGATACCACACCTCCTAGTAAAACGAGTAGAACCTGTAGATCTTCATAGACTTTGTTCCCTTTATTGGGCATGGCCAGGCCTGGACTGGGACAAAAAATAGGCCCAGGCACTTTGAACTGAGCAGCCAAAAGCCCAGGGACCTTTTCATTGGAGCCCGGTGGCAGAACGCCAGGGCCGGGTCGCAAGAGTGACCCTTGCAACCTGGTAGTTCCGGCACTAGTGTCAGTAGGTTTTTATTTTTTCAAAGGAAGGAGGGAAACCAGAGAGAGAGAGAGAGAGAGAGAGAGAGAGAGAGAGAGAGAGGGAAAGAAAGCGAAAGAGAAAGAAGAGAAACAGGAGACAGAGAGTAAGAGAGAAAGAAGGAACGAGGGAAACGGGAGATAGAGAGGGAGAGAAAAAGAGACGTATAGAAGGAGAGAAAGAAAAGAGAGAAACAGGAGAGAGAGAGACACAGCACCTAAAGATACCGAGAAATGCATGGTCCTCTATGTGCCACCCAGCCGCTTCTCCTGTCCAGGCGGCCCCATGGCTGATAGGTTCTCTGTCTCCTCACCCATCCTCACCCCCGCCTCCCCACACAAACACTCCCCCCTGCCACAGCACAGCCCTTTTCAGTGATGGCACTGGTCCCTTCTGCCTGGGGGCGGTGCCGCCCCCCTGAAAAAAGCCGGCCAAGGCAGCTGCCTTGTTTGCCTCGTGGCAGATACGCACCTTGGTGTGAGTCTACAAACCCCTCACTAGGAAGAGCCAGGTGGACATTGACAGTAGGCAACTGATGATCTGTGGCTAAGTGAGTACAATATCCCGGTGCTGCAAATGTGATAGTGTTGTGCTTTTGGACTCTAGGAGTACAGGTCAAAAGTCTTGGAGGAAGCCAGCCAGAAAACCGGTCCCTGCTGGGGCTAATTGGTGGGGGGGGGGGGGGGGGGGCTATTACATAAAGCAGCCCAAGGAACCAATTGGGTCAGAAGAAAGCCAGGAGGAAGCTGTGGGAGAGAGCCCAAGTTGTCCAAGAGGTGGTGTGAGTCGACATCCCCCTCACTAGGATAAGCCTGGTGGATATCGACAGGAGGAAACCAATGATCCTGTGGCTCAGTGAGTAAAATATCCTAGTGCTGCAAATGTGACAGTGTGGTGCTTTGAGACTCTAGGAGGAGTATAGGTCTCAGACAACTAGAGATCCTATGGGACAGAACTTTGTGAAAGTGCAGACAGAGGTTGTACAATACAGCCAGAAATTGTGCACGGCAGCCAGACGTTGTGAGAAACTTCCAAAAGTTGTGCAGAGAAGCCGGAAGTTAGGCAATCCTCACGTTGTACAGTTTTCTTCAATTTCGGGGCATCCCATGCTCCCTACCCATATTCATCGTTCCCCAATAAAAATAAACCCCCATTTTGACCTTTGAGTAAGAGGAAGAATGATGGAAATGCTGTGTGCCTGGCTGTGTGTGTGCGCCCTGAGGGGCAAATAGGATTTAATTCACCAGGAGCTCTTTAGGTGGTGCGCTACACAACATAATGTTGGTATCATCTTCACAAAGAGTGGTAAAAATGAACATAACCTAAAAGCATAAAATATGATAGAGCAGGGGACTCCAAACTATGGCCCTGGGGCTGGATGTGGCCCTTTGTTTGCCTTTATCTGGCCCTTGGGGCACTATGCCTTGACAGGAGACACTATTTAGTCCCAAAAAAAGGTTTATTGGACTTGCACATTTCTATGGCACGCTTGTTCTTGCTGCCTTCCATGTAAACTAGATGATGACACGTCTCCTTTTGTTGCTGCAGGCTGAAGGCTCCATTCGTGCCAGATGTTTCCATCTTTACCAGTGTGGTTGGCAATGCCTTTGCCATAGCGGTGGTGGTCTACGCTTTTACCATCTCTCTAGTGAAGATGTTCGCGGTGAAACATGGTTACAACATAGACAGCAACCAGGTGAAATCTCCTACGGTACTCTTATGTTACTGGAAAAAAAATTACAGAGCAATAGAAATTCTCTTATCTTGTAGGAATTCATCGCTCTTGGCCTTAGTAATTCTGTGGGAAGTTTCTTCCAGTGTTTCACGATTGGGACAGCCATGTCGAGGAGTCTGGTACAGGAGAGCACTGGAGGGAACAGCCAGGTAAAATCCTCTGTCTTACTGAGATAAGAGCATCAGCTCCTGAGCCGAGCCATGCATTGACCTAGCATGGGGTAGGACCATGTTCTTTAGCACCCAAGGTGAAAGGGCCAAAAGATGTCCCCCCAAAGAGCTCTGAACTACTTTAACAGCGTAGGTTGCAGGTCCTACCCATTTTGCACCCTCTCCTGCTGAAGCACCCAAAACAACTGCCTCTTCTGCTTATCCTACAGCCAAAATCCTGGGCTTTCCATCTTCTCTGAGGATCAATCTGCTGGTTGTAGTCTGTTGTCACCATCATAAATTCTGGGTCTGCATCCAACTACTCTGCTGCATCATTCCTGCTTGGCAACCCAGTTTTAATGGAGTAGTCCAGTGCTTTATAGGAGATTTTGTTTTCTCTGATTAAAATATATCTAAACCCAAGAACAAATATGCAATATATTGCTGCTTGCCAGTCCTTATATGTGGTGGCAGCATTTATTTTCTTTCTTCAGGCTTTATTTTGCCTCCATTGAGGTGACAATGCTCATTCACTGTACTGTGTCTTTGAAGCAGCAGTAATGTCACCCTAGCACACACACTGAGGACAATGTGCCTGATAAGAGTGCAGCAGAAATAGTGAGCCTGGGAATTTACAAGCTCACAAGGTTTCTGGCAGGATCAAATGTTTTTTTTTTCCACTAATCAAACAGATATATCACTTTCAATAGTATGTCACAGATCAAATAGGGGGAAAATAAGAGAAGGTCATTGCTAGGGTTAAAATACCGTTTAACCCCTGTCTAGACAGGAATAGGAGGAGGAGTGGACAAATGGGAACAATAATGCATTATATGAAATAACACATGTCCAGTATCCCTTTAGAAATGCATGTTCCTCTTTGCTGGTCACTAGGTGTTGCAGACATAAGTTGTGCAGTCTGTGCCAGAAGCAGGTCTGATAGTGTAATCAACTGATCAGCAGATCATACAGCTAATATATGCACCATCCAGTGGCCAACAAGGAGGAACATGCATGTCTAAAGGGATGCTGGGCATGTGTTCTTTCATATAACATCCAGACCAGGGGTAGGCAACCTTAAAGAGGTGGAGATCTACCCAGGAGTGTATTTACCACAAGGCAAACAAGGCATTTGCTAGCGCAGCATTTTTCAGAAGGGGGGCAGCGCTGTCCAATGAAAGAAGGAATGGAAGAAGGGTAAGACGCAGCATGGGGACCAGGTGGGATCTGATAGGGACTGCTTGATGATGTATGCAGAGCATGACTCTTGTTCCCGGAGAGTAGTTCAATGTTACTATGGTAACATTGAATTGCTTTGGTCAGAGTGTTGAAAAAAAAAATTGTAAAAAAAAGAAAAAATTATTTAATAAAAAATATAAACAAAAATAGAAAAATGTGAAAAAAATACAAATTAAATTATTATTCTTTTCAGCAAAGAAATGTAGCAGAATACATTAATGAAGAAATGTAATTTCTTTGCAGAAAAAAAAATGCACTTTTCTTCATTTCTGCAAACGTTTCAGGTGTTTTTTGTTTTAGCAAAAAATTAAAAAAACTCAGTGGTGATTAAATACCACCAAAAGAAAGCTGTATTTGTGTGAAAAAAATGATAAAAATTTCATATGGGTACAGTGTTGCATGACCGCGCAATTGTCATGGGCAGGAAGGGGGTATAAGTGGTTAATCAAGGAGAAGGAGCACTCATTTCCACAGTGAGTGGACTAATGTGATCGAACAATTGGGATCTGTGGCATACGTTCATGCACAGTTGGATCATCCCGTATCAGGTTGGGTGCTGGTTCAAGGATCATCCCATATCAGGTTGGGTGCTGGTTCAAGGATCATCCCATATCAGGTTGGGTGCTGGTTCAAGGATCATCCCATATCAGGTTGGGTGCTGGTTCAAGGATCATCCCATATCAGGTTGGGTGCTGGTTCAAGGATCATCCCATATCAGGTTGGGTGCTGGTTCATCAGGTTGGGTGATCATCCCATATCAGGTTTGCTGGTGCTGGTTTCTGGTTCAAGGATCATCCCATATCCAAGGATCATCCCATATCAGGTTGGGTGCTGGTTCAAGCAAATCAATCGACTTATCAATATTTACCCCTCTTGTCCTTGTTGCTGAAACTCCATCTGTCTTTCCTCAGGTCGCGGGAGCCATGTCATGCTTGGTTATCCTCGTCATCATTCTGAAGGCCGGTGAGCTGTTTAAGACTTTGCCAAAAGTGAGTTTATTAGAAATCTGCCTTTGTCTTCTCTGGGTGACATAATAGTAGGAAGTACCCTAGGTGACCCCGTACAATGACCATTATTGTTCCATCTTGGTACACTGAAAGAACATTTCGCACTAAAATTATTTTGTAACCAAAGTGACTAATCATAGCACCAATAAAATATTTAAACCTCAATTGAACTTTCAGTTTAAACCAGTTAAATGCATTCCAGGTGCATAAAACAAAAGGTTTACAAAGTCTTAGTTTTTTCCTTCCCAAGGCATCCACAGCCAGGGAACAGAAGCCTGTCCCTTGCCAGCATGCTCTGTAGGGAAGCAGTGGTCTCTCTACAGATGTCTGACACACTCTTGACTTAGTCAGACCTATAGCTTTGCAATCAGCAGAGCCCGTGCCCCTGCAGATCGGAGAGCTCTGACTCAACAGGAGGCATGTTGGACCAGAGGTGTCCCTAGCAGGGGCGGACTGACCATGTGAGCACTCGGGCACTTCCCGAGGGCCCGGGGTCAGTAGGGGGCCCCATGAGATGCCCCTAGTACCTTTCATAGGCTTTTTTGGGTGTGGTCGAGGACACAGGGGCCCCATGATCCCCTATTGCCCGGGGGCCCCATAAGTTGTCAGTCCGCCCCTGGTCCCTAGGGTTGGTGTCACCGGTGTGTGGTAACATGTATAGAGGTGCCAGTGTAGCGATAAAATGAGTATCCCGTGAAGATATGTATCCCCTGAAGCAAGTGCTCATGTGCCGGTTTCAGGCCGAAGAAGCCGATCTCTGACTTTAGCCCAGAGCCGGCGATCGGCCTGAAACCGGCACATGCGCAGTTGCTTCAGGGGATACATATCTTCAGGGGATACTCATTTTACCGCTACACCAGGGCGGGGGCAGCTGTCACTGTGCTGGCATCCTGCTCCTCCACCACCTGTGATGGTGTCACCCGGTGCGCCCTGCACCCCCCCCCCAGGGACGCCATTGTGTTGGACCTCTGCAGGGAGACCACTGCTTCCACACTCCAAACTGAAAATTAAACCTTGAAATGCTTGCCTATTTTTGGTTTTTAGTTTTTCTTCATGTAATGCTGTAGTGTGCCAGTTCAGCGCTCCCCTCATGAGGGCCACTTGTATTTTTGCCCTGGTCTCCCCTTGCTTCTCTCCGCAGCCAGGCACACACATACTTTGGCTCGTTGTCTTCAATGACCAGTATAGGGGATGGGGTTTTTTTTAAGAGTTTATTGTAGAACTGGGGACAGGGATGGGGAATTATAGTAGGGTACTCCAAAATTAGAACTATTCATACTAAGGACATGTGAACTTATCTCTTAGTTGAGCACTGTAGACGTCCTGGCTGAAAGCAGATACCAGACTTCTCTTTAACATGTAGCAACAAGTAGTTTAGGAGTGAGCTAAGTCCCTCTAGCTGTAGTAGTAATATCAGGGTTGAGCTCTTCAGGTACAGGCCTGTTACGGCAGACTGTGGCAGTCCAGAAGTAATAGAACTGAGCAAAGTCCTTTGCAGTAGCATTAATTGGACAAGCTCTTCAGAACACCAGCCAGTGTCCCCTTTTCTCAGACCCAAGCTGACTGTCAAGCATCAGAGCGGTAGCAAAGCACACAGAGTCCCCAAGTGTGCTTAAATGTTGGTCTACTCAATTATTTGCTATTTGGAAATTTTTCTCTGTCTAAACAGTGGCTCCCACACATTCATCTAGTCCAGGGGTCTCCAGACATAATAAACTAAGGGTCAGTTCACTGTCCTCCAGAATTCTGGTGGGGGGGGGGGGGGCTGGTTGTTGGGGTCGGACAGTAGGGGTAGAAAATGTACATGGTGTCTGTGGTCAGTAGAAGGAGAAATAGTGCCCATTCTTGGTATTGGTGAAAGGAATGTCATTCGTGTTAGTGGAAGGGATCGTGCCCCATCATTGGTGTCACTAGGAGGAATTCTGCCCTATCGTTGGTATCAGTGAAAGAAATAGTGCCCCATCATTGGTATTAGTGGGAGGAATAGTGCCCCATCATTGGTATCAGTGGGAGGAATAGTGCCCCATCATTGGTATCAGTGGGAGGAATAGTGCCCCATCATTGGTATCAGTGGAAGGAATAGTGCCCCATCATTGGTATCAGTGGGAGGAATAGTGCCCCATCATTGGTGTCAGTGGAGGAATAGTGCCCCATCATTGGTATCAGTGGAAGGAATAGTGCCCATCATTGGTATCAGTGGAAGGAATAGTGCCCCATTATTGGTGTCAGTGGGAGGAATAGTGGCCCATCATTGGTATTAGTGGGAGGAATAGTGGCCCATCATTGGTATTAGTGGGAGTAATAGTTCCTCATCCATGGTATCAGTAGGAGGAATAGTGCCAAATCATTGGTATCAGTAGGGAGGAATAGTGCCCCATCATTGGTATCAGTGGGAGGAATAGTGCCCCATCATTGGTGTCAGTGGGAGGAATAGTGTCCCATTGTTGGTATTAGTGGAAGGAATGTCATTAGTGTTAGTGGTAGGGATCATGCCCCATAATTGGTGTCACTGGGAGGAATCCTGCCCTATCGTTGGTATCAGTGGAAGGAATAGTGCCCCATCATTGGTATTAGTGGGAGGAATAGTGCCCCATCATTGGTATTAGTGGGAGGAATAATGCCCCATCATTAGTGTATTAGTAGTGGGAGGAATAGTGCCCATCATTAGTGTTAGTGGGAGGAATAGCGCCCCATCATTAGTGTTAGTGGAAGGGATCGTGCCCCATCATTTGGTATCAATGAGAGTAATCCTGCCCCATGGTTGGTATTAATGGAATGAATGGTGACCCACGTTGGTGTCAGTGGAAGAAATAGTGTCCCATCATAGATGTCAGTGGGAGAAATAATGCCCCACTATTGGTGTCAGTGGGAGGAATAGTGATCCATCATTGGTATTAATGGAAGGGATAGTGCCCCATCATTGGTGTCAATAGGAGGAATCCTACCCCATCATTGGGCAGGTTGGTGAGATGGCAGTGAACTGGTGATGAGGTCCAGACCATGAAACTAATCACTTGGACAGATTCAGCTGATAGGTGGTGGAGCAGATTGGTGCTCAGTGCTAATCGCTAACTATAATGTATAGCTTTTTTACCCTGCAGTGTTTTTTGGAATAATTTAGGTTCGGTAACCAGCAATCGCCATATCTTAATACTGTTGTACCCCCGATTCATTACATGTCTTTGTTTCTTCCTCTCAGGCAATCCTGGCATCAGTTGTCATTGTGAATTTGAAGGGCATCTTCAAGCAGTTCAGAGATATCCCCTTGCTATGGAGAACAAACAGAATTGACTTGGTAAATAATTTTTGAACTAACTCCTAAGCAGACACTGCAGATTTTATGGAGCTCCAGAGACAAATGCATTTCTATGTGGAAGGTGATAAAAGAAAAAAAGAGTTAAACATTAATCCACTCAAAACCTAGATCTTGCAACCCTGGGGTCGTAAAGTCCACCACTGTCAACCAACTTATCTATCTAAAAAAATTGTATTGTATTGCAGCATTTGTTTTCTTTTTTAATTTTTTACATTACATTTGTTCTGTGGGAATAAGGGCAAAAACCAATATTATTAGGCTATTTTCTCTCCAGGTCAAATGTTATTCATTCATAAAGAGTGGTAGACGGAGCTAACAAACAGAGTAAATTAGAATTTGTTTATGATAATCAGAAGCATCTAGTGGACAGAATGTGGCATTTTCCTGAAAAATTTGAGAATAAATAGCCTTGTAACATTTGATTTTGCACCTATTCGCATAGTACCTGCAATTTCTCAGAACTAAGAGCTCAATGGTGTTCAAGGTGAGTAAACGACTGTTATTACGAGGTTCTACTGGGCTCAGGTCTGAGAGTTCTATAAATTGTTCCTGTGATGGAAATCTTCTAATCTGGTCTCTTTCAGGTGGTCTGGCTGGTAACATTTGTGGCCACGATACTCCTGAACTTAGACCTGGGACTGGCGGTTTCTGTGGCCTTCTCTCTCCTGACTGTCATCTTTAGGACGCAGCTGTGAGTCTTGCATTGGTGTTGGTTTAATTGGTTTTTGCATTTTGTATTCTTCTCAAAAAAGTTCCTTTCTATTGCTCTCCGCCTCCTCCAAATCTCCAAACTTCTTTTTTTGTTGCTGTGATCTGACTTTCTCTTAGAGGGTGGCTACAATCATTCTCCTTGGTCCCACTGTATGTAGGAACATAGCCACCCTCCCTTGCTTACCCCCAAGATGGACTATGGATTATGGGATGTGTAGTGTGCATAGAGCAGCGCACATGACACAAACTAACGTGTGCTGCTCCTTCCAAACTAACGAGGATGAAAAAACAGGGGTTCAGGAGATCTTGGAGGACGTTATAAGGAGTCAAAAATGTTGGGGATACAATCTGAAAACTTGTTGGTTCTCTCTTTCTTCTCTCTCTCTTTATAACCAAGATGTCTGATGTTACAGTCTGCTGAAATGTGTTGTATGTTTGCAACTTAAGCCACACAAGTAAACCAAGTTCTGCCTCATCACAAGCTACTAGTGTCTTCTCTAACACATAACCAACAAAAAAAAAAAAAAACCAAAAGGAATAAGTTCATGAAAAATGTGTATGGATGAGTTTTGCAGAATAAATTAGGCTACCCCATAGCTGATGTATGGTTCCCCACTGCAGTAGGTTTATTTAGTGAGTCTAAAATCTTAAAATTTATCCTATTCCAGCTTACTATAAAAGTAAACCCTAACCAAAATAATTATAGAGACACTGTTCTTTTCCCATGTAGAGCAAATTATGAGTTCTGAATTCCAAGTTCTAAATTCTGAGCTTCAAGTTCTCAGTTCCAAATTCCAAGTTCCAAATTTCAAATTCCGAGTCCTGAAGTCCAAATTCTAAATTCAAAATTACAAGCGTCAAATTCCGATTTTCGCATTCTCAGTTCCAAATTTCAAATTCTGATTTCCGAATTCTGAGTTGCAAATTCCGAGTTTCAAATTTCTGATTTCCGAATTCTGAGTATCTAATTCCAGGGTTCTGAGTTTAAAATTTTGAGGTTCCAAGTTTCAAATTCCAGGTTCTGAATTGAGAATTCCAAAGTTCAGTGCCAGTGTGTTTTGAGAGCTCTGTACCCCCCCCCCCCAGTGAGATATACTTACCCATCCACACTCCCTTGCCACCTCCCTGCTGCAGGAGCCCACCCTGGGTAAGCTCTGAGGTCGCATTGTGTCATGATGATGTCATTGCACCTCCCCAATGGGACCCTAGTTCCTGGCATTGCTGTACTACACCGATCCACCCTGCTACCTTGTGCTTGTAACCTGATGATCCTGGATTGCACCTACTGGGGATGATGGAACGTTCTTCTTGCTATGTCTCAAAAAACCTAGTGTAAAAAAAAAAAAGTCAGTGCTAAGCAGTGGTGCATTTAGGTTTTGTTCTGCCCTAGGCTACACAAAAATCGCCCCCCCCCCCCCCTCCCGCGGAGAGAGCCTGACACCAACCAACACCACCTCCCCCTCCCTCTTGACCCCCCACCAAGAAAGCCTTCCACTACCACCACCCTCCATACACCGGCCACCCCACCTCCCAGCGAGAGAGAGAAAAACGCTCACCTTCACAGCTCCAGACATCCCCTGAAATGAGTGTCTCTGAGGCTCTTCATACACCATCAAGCAGCCTGCAGCCTCTCTCGGATCGCACCTGGTTCCCTATGCCGCATGGGTCCCTTCTTCTGTCCCTTCTTCCAGGGAGTGGTGCTGCCCCCCCTGAAAAATGCCGCCCTAGGCAAATGCCTTGTTTGCCTTGTGGTAAATACAGCCCTGCTGCTAAGAATTTATTCACTGCCACCAATCCGATTCAGACCTTCCTCAAATGTTTGACTGTGATCGATCATGTAGGAAATAGCGAAGTCACACAGCACATGCTACACCCCTAATGACATCCCATGAAGCAATGCCTGCTGTGGTTGCATTAAAACTGCAGTAAATTGAGTAAACTCCTGTTTTTAGCATAGCTGCAGTGTTTGCTCGAATACATGAGTAGCTCACGAATTGATATATCTCATCTCTCAAATGGACTTTGCTTTTTAATTGACATCTATTCTCTAAATCCCTTATTAGCAGACATAAACACAACTCAAGTCTGTCATGGTTTGGCTGAAGGAGGCCATCATATATAGTTCTCTCTCTCTCACGTTGAATTACGTATGATTATTCTGGAAGTGATTTCCTGTTTTATGTTTGGATGATCATCAAGTTCTTAGTTCATTGTTCTCCTTCCCCCCCTACAGACCTCATTACTCCATTCTTGGGCAAGTTCCAGGGACACATATTTACAGGGATGTGGCTCAGTACCAACAGGTGAGAGTCAATGACACTGTTTGCTAATGCATAACCTACAGTTTAGTATTTCCCATTGCAGACCCATGGACGGGGTATTTTCAAAAGAAAGCAAAAGGACACTAATGGACATGGGCAGCCACTAGAAGGCGTCCTTATAATTAATATAGGTACTGAGAATCTGATGTCTATGGTTTTATGGACTTTTAGTTGTTATTGGGTGCAGGACATTAACTCGCCTACGGGCACTTCCCCCCTTCCTGCCCAGGCCAATTTTCAGCTTGTCAGCGCTGTTGCACTTTGAATGACAATTGCGCGGTCATGCATCACTGCACTCATTTTTATAATTTTTTTCACACAAATAGAGCTTTCTTTCAGTGGTATTTAATCGCCACTAGGGGGTTTTATTTTTTGCACTATAAATTAAAAAAGTGCAAAATGTTAAAAAATAGAAAAAAAAATTGGAAAACCTTTGTTTTTTTTTTAACATTTTTTGCTAACAAGTAATTTTTCTCCTTCATTGATATGCATTGATGAGGCAGCACTGGTGTGCATTAATGAGGAGGCACTGATGATGCACTGATATGCAGCAATAATGGGCACTGATGAGGCGACACTGATGAGGCAGCACTGGTGGGCATTGATGATGCACTGATATGTAGCAATGATGGGCACTGATGATGCACTGATATGTAGCAATGATGCATGAGAGTCGGCACTGATGGGCGGCTCTGATAGGCGTCACTGACCGATAGCACCAACTGCAGGCACTGCTGTGCACTGTTGGGCAGCACTGATGGGCGCCACTGTTGGGCAGCACTGATGGGCGCCACTGCCTGGCACTGCTGGGCAACACTGCTGGGCACTGATGGGTGGCACTGCTCAGCGGCATTGCTGGGCACTGCTGGGCGGCACTGATGTTCAACAGGTAAAAAGTTTTGGGCATAAAATTAGCTAATCTTACATAATTTTGGGGTGCTGAAAACGAAAATGACCCTAAAAAATGTTGATTGGCTCTAGTTTCCATGATATATTCACCCATCTAATGACGTAAGCCATTCAAAATGATGATGCAACTTCAGCTGCATATTGCGCAATTGATACTGGTGATCAATAGAAAATTGCATGTATACTGAGATGATGCAATATTAGCCTTTAATTGCATCACTTCACTGCATAAAAGCTGCAGTATCTGTAGCTGATTGTAGTTCGACAGCGTCTTTACATTTCGTTTTATGCTTATATAGGCTACTCAGTAATGCCTCGAACTTGTGTGAATAAAGCAGATAATTTCTGCTATATCTGCGGTGAAATAACTTTTATCTCACAAAAAAGGAGGATAACAGGAATGATTAAGAAAGCCTAAAACTTGTATTTTGGCTGCAAGATAGGAGACCAGGACAAGAGCTGGGCACCACATATATGCTGCAATTCTTGTGGGACGGCACTGGAGCAATGGTTGAATGGAAAAAAGGCATCTATGCCTTTCGTTGTGCCAATGATTTGGAGAGAGCCAACAGATCATGTTAGTAATTGTTACTTTTGTATGGTGCCTCCAATTGTAAAAGGGCTAAATAAGAAGAAAAAGTTATCTGTGCACTATCCAAATATTCCATCGGCAATACGTCCAGTTCCTCATGGAGAGGGGCTACCAATTCCTAAAGCACCAGAATCCTTCGTGGTTGAGTCAAGTGAGGAAGAACCTGAAGCGTGTAGTCACGTGCAGTTGTAAGAGATAGCCCTTTCCTCGAATACAAGAGAAAAGCCAAGAGAAGCAAAACCGACACAAACTGAAGACAAAACTAGTGAGAATCCTAAGTATTAAAATGATTCAACTTAGCTTATGGCTATAATTTTTCTTGGTAATCCTATGCAATATATTATGCCATTTAGGCTTTGTTATGTAGTCAATATCACTTGCTTTATATTTGTGGAAAGACATCTATCTATATAATTATTGTGCATTATGTAGTCATTACGCCTATAGTAGAAAACTTTCTGTTTACAGAAAAACTAGAGCCAATTGACAAATTTCATTGTTATATTTGAACTCAGAATGTGAAATTCATTAAGAAATGGATCCTTTTGTTTCCAAAACTGGCAAAAAATAAAAATTTGTTGAATCAGTGCCCTGATTATTAGTGCAGATCTCCCCTGTCACAGCTGCTGGTTATCACGTTAATTAGGATTTCGTTGTTTAAAATGTAGCTTTGCTCTTAAGACATTCATTGGGGTGTATTCATTTTTGCAACATGGTCTTGAATGAATTTGTTGGGAAAAATACTTTTGTGTGTGCAAATTAACAAATCTTGTTTGCAATCAATGGCCGGCATTTGTGGGAGGATTTTGTAGTATAGCATCCCATAGAAAATGTTGATTCTGAAAGGAAAGGAAAGGTTTTCTGACAAATCTGTTGGGGGTGTACTCATTTATGCTCAGCACGTGTGTGTGTGTGTGTGTGTGTGTGTGTGTGTGTGTATATGTATATATATGTATATGTATATGTATATATGTGTATATATATATGTATGTATATATATATGTATGTATATATATATATATATATATATATATACACATGTTTTGCTATATATCACACAAAACCAAAAATGGGCTGGACAAAAGTATTGGCATCCCTTAACTTAAATTTGGTTGCACACCCTTTATAATATGTGTGTGTGTGTATATATATGTGTGTATGCATATATTGTGTGTGTATATATATAGGTGTGTGTGTGTATGTATATATACTGTGTATCTGCATAAGGCTTTTGGCTTATAATGTGTGTATGTATATGTGTGTGTATATGTATATATGATATATATGTCTTTATATATATATATATATATATATATATATATATATATATATATATATATATATATATATTTATATATATATATATATATATACACGTGTATATATATATATATGTGTGTGTGTGTGTATGTATACGTGTATATATATATATATGTGTGTGTGTGTGTGTGTATATGTATGTATGTATGTGTGTGTATATATATATATATATATATATATATAATATGTTACATTCTTATTAATATTTTCCAGATCCAGGAAGTCCAGGGCATTAAGATCTTCAGGTCTTCATCCACGGTTTATTTTGCAAATGCGGAAATATATGCAAATACTGTCAAAAAGATGGTATGTTTAAAGCAGATTTTATCTGCCTATATTTTGCCTTCCTGGTTCCTCTCTCTCCATCAACATATTTTATTTTAATTAAAACCCTTTCCATTTTCATTATATACCTTTTTAAAGGGTTAGTTCACCTTTACTTAAAAACTGCCTATGCAGGTAAGTGGCACCTGTAGATATAAACAAACTGTGCAGCTTTGACTTAAGTTGACTAACATCCTTGCTGTAGTTGTAGGCCATTTACAGTACATACCTCTAAAGCTGGGAAAAAACTCCCAGAGATGGCATCATTCCATCCTGCCTTGTTGCTAGCAGGTTGCTAAGACACTCCCAGTTGTTACTGCTCACCCCCATCATCGCTGGAGCGAGCTCTTAAACCCCCAGCTCATGTGTGGTTCTTTATCTCCTCCATCGCAGAATTACACGGCCAAGAGCTACTGTGACAGAGGCAAGAGAATGCATGTGAGGGGGCTTGAATAGGCTAGGAGTGTCTTAGCAACGTCCTAGCAACAAGGCAGGTGGGATGATGTCATCTCTGGGAGTTTCTCAGCAAGGGTTCGGGAGGTGTGTAAATGGCCTACACCTATAGAAAGGACATTAACTAACCTTCGTCAAAGCTGCACAGCTTGTTTTTATCTACAGATGCCCCTTACCTACACTGGAATGCTTTTGGTAAAGGTGAGCTTACCCTTTAATTTAGACCAAGTGATGTCATCACTGGGTCTCTGTGCTTCTCTTTTTCTCCATTTTTATGGTGCACTGATCTCATTGCACACACCTTTGCAATCAGTCTAAAACAATGGGATTATTTTTTATCATGCCAAAAGTTCAAACTCCAGTAGGGTACCTTCAGCCTTGCCATAGATGGCCAGCTTTCCAGCCCTATCCAGAATACACATTTTGAAAGAATTGATCTGACTTCCTCTGAATATGTAAGTTTTGAAATGAAGTATTTCTGTATGCTTCCTTTAAATCTATATATTTGTAGAGTGGCATTGATGTGGATAAACTGATTGAGATGAAGAAAAAAGCCAATAAAAAGGAAGCTCAGCTGAAGAAAAAGGCAGAAAAACAGGCTAAGAAGGAACTGAAACGAAGGAAGGGAGAGACAGCACTGGACAAAGTAAGCCGGTGATTGAGATCCTAAAGTGTTACTAAACCCCAGACCCTGCATCCACTATATGTGGTCTCCCTGGACCCTGCATCCACTATATGTGGTCTCCCGGACCCTGCATCACTATATCCGCTCTCCCGGACCCTGCATCCACTATATCCGCTCTCCCCGGATCCGCTCTCCCCCGCATTCACTATATCCGCTCTCCCGGACCCTGCATTCACTATATCCGCTCTCCCCGGACCCCGCATTCACTATATCCGCTCTCCCCGGACCCTGCATTCACTATATCCGCTCTCCCCGGACCCTGCATTCACTATATCCGCTCTCCCCGGACCCTGCATTCACTATATCCGCTCTCCCGGACCCTGCATTCACTATATCCGCTCTCCCCGGACCCTGCATTCACTATATCCGCTCTCCCCGGACCCTGCATTCACTATATCCGCTCTCCCCGGACCCTGCATTCACTATATCCGCTCTATATCCGGCTCTCCCGGACCCTGCATTCACTATATCCGCTCTCCCCGGACCCCCCTGCATTCACTATATCCGCTCTCCCCGGACCCCTGCATTCACTATATCGCTCTCCCCGGACCCTGCATTCACTATATCCGCTCTCCCCGGACCCTGCATTCACTATATCCGCTCTCCCCGGACCCTGCATTCACTATATCCGCTCTCCCCGGACCCTGCATTCACTATATCCGCTCTCCCCGGACCCTGCATTCAACTATATATCTGGTCTCCCCGGACCCTGCATTCACTATATCTGGTCTCCCCGGACCCTGCATTCACTATATCCGGTCTCCCCGGACCCTGCATTCACTATATCCGGTCTCCCCGGACCCCGCATTCACTATATCCGGTCTCCCCGGACCCCGCATTCACTATATCCGGTCTCCCCGACCCCGCATTCACTATATCCGGTCTCCCCGGACCCCGCATTCATTATATCCGGTCTCCCCGGACCCTGCATCCACTATATCCGGTCTCCCCGGACCCTGCATTCCTATATCCGGTCTCTCCCCGGACCCTGCATTCACTATATCCGGTCTCCCCGGACCCCGCATTCACTATATCCGGTCTCCCCGGGACCCTGCATTCATTATATCCGGTCTCCCCGAACCCCGCATTCACTATATCTGGTCTCCCCGGACCCCGCATTCACTATATCCGCTCTCCCCGGACCCTGCATTCACTATATCCGGTCTCCCCGGACCCTGCATTCACTATATCTGGACTCTGTGGAGTCATTTGAGGTAGAGAGCAAACAGACTAATAACTCAATGCTTTCAAGAGATAACTATATACCAAATAAAAAAAAAATCTAAATTTCACAACATAATGTGATAAAATAACGAATGAATGTAAGATAACTCATGCAGTTTAGTGAACTGACCGTGTAGCTTTCATATCTCCTAGGTGAATGAACTTGATTCGATTGCCGTTCACAGTGTGCGCATCGCAGATGCAGAGTTCCAGAAAGACTATGGAAATGAAGAAGACACCGCCGAAAACTGCTTGAAACACAGTAAATCTCCCGTCCACTCCCTCATCCTGGATCTGAGCACCGTTAGTTTTGTAGACACTGTCAGTATTAAGATGCTAAAAAACGTAAGTGGGGAAACGTGTCGTAATTGTGCTCTAGTATGCTGCAGATCCAATTTTGGTGCATGATTTTATCAACAATGTTTCATGTTGTACCCCACATGGAAGAAAAATATATTTGAAATATATTTTAAAAATATTCTTCCCAAATATATTGACATATATTTTAAATACTACAATTTTGGCCATATTCAATATATATACTGCACGTTGAAATGCATTTTTTATATATTCCAAAATATATGAAAAATATTTTTAAAAACATTTTTTTTTAAATACATTCTTCTTCAGATTTTTTTTAACTCCGCTCCTCACAAGACCTCCTTCTCTCTAGTTCCCTGGTCTCCTCCTCCCATGCCCGCCTCCAGGACTTCTCCAGGGTGTCACCCATCCTCTGGAACTCCCTGCCCCAACCCATCAGGTTATCACCTACTCTCCTCTCCTTTAGGCACACCCTGAAAACCCACCTCTTCAGGGAAGCCTACCCCACCCCCTGCTAAGTTGCCGACCTCCTCCACTCTTCCTACCACCCCATCCCCCACAGCTATCTCCTCCTGTACTACTATACCCTCCCTCCTAGATTGTAAGCTCCAAAGAGCAGGGCCCTCGATCCCCTCATGTTTTGCATTGTATTGGTATTGTTCTGTCACATGTTCTGCCCCCTCTGTAATGTACAGCGCTGAGCGAACTATTGGTGCTTTATAAATACTGTATAATAATAATATATTTTGTAATAACACATTACAACACACAGTGTGTGTGTATATGTGTGTGTGTGTGTATGTGTATATATACAGTGGGGCAAAAAAGTATTTAGTCAGCCACCAGTTCTGCAAGTTCTCCCACTTAAAAAGATGAGAGAGGCCTGTAATTGGCATCATAGGTAGACCTCAACTATGAGAGACAAAATGAGAAAAAAAATCCAGACAATCACATTGGCTGATTTGGAAAGAATTTATTTACAAATTATGGTGGAAAAGAAGTATTTGGTCACCTACAAACAAGCAAGATTTCTGGCTCTCACAGACCTGTACCTTCTTCTTTAAGAGGCTCCTCTGTCCTGCACTCATTACCTGTATCAATGACACCTGTTTGAGGTTGTGGACAGGTGTCTTTTATACTGATAACAAGTTCAAACAGTCACACTCCAAGCTCCACCATGGTGAAGACCAAAGAGCTGTCGAAGGACACCAGAAACAAAATTGTAGACCTGCACCAGGCTGGGAAGACTGAATCTGCAATAGGCAAGCAGCTTGGTGTGAACAAATCAACTGTGGGAGAAATAATTAGAAAATGGAAGACATACAAGACCACTGATAATCTCCCTCGATCTGGGGCTCCACGCAAGATCTCACCCCGTGGGGTCAAAATGATCACAAGAACGGTGAGCAAAAATCCCAGGACCACACGTGGGGACCTAGTGAATGACCTGCAGAGAGCTGGGACCAACGTAACAAAGGCTACCATCAGTAACACACTACGCTGCCAGGGACTCAGATCCTGCAGTGCCAGACGTGTCCCCTCTGCTTAAGCCAGTACATGTCCGGGCCCGTCTGAAGTTTGCTAGAGAACATTTGGATGATCCAGAAGAGGTTTGGGAGAATGTCATATGGTCAGATGAAACCAAAATAGAACTGTTTGGTAGAAACACAACTCGTTGTGTTTGGAGGAGAGAGAATGCTGAGTTGCATCCAAAGAACACCATACCTACTGTGAAGCATGGGGGTGGCAACATCATGCTTTGGGGCTGTTTCTCCACAAAGGGACCAGGATGACTGATCCATGATCCATGTACAGGACAGAATGAATGGGGCCATGTATTGTGAGATTTTGAGTGCAAACCTCCTTCCATCAGCAAGGGCATTGAAGATGAAACGTGGCTGGGTCTTCCAACATGACAATGATGCCAAACATACCAACCTGGCAACAAAGGAGTGGCTTCGTAAGAAGCATTTCAAGGTCCTGGAGTGGCCTAGCCAGTCTCCAGATCTCAACCCCATAGAAAACCTTTGGAGGGAGTTGAAAGTCCGTGTTGCCCAGCGACAGCCCCAAAACATCACTGCTCTAGAGGAGATCTGCATGGAGGAATGGGCCAACGTACCAGCAACAGTGTGTGCCAACCTTGTGAAGACTTACAGGAAACGTTTGATATATAACAAAGTATTGAGGTGAACTTTTGATATTGACCAAATACTTATTTTCCACCATAATTTGCAGATGAATTCTTTCCAAATCAGACAATGTGATTGTCTGGATTTTTTTTTCTCATTTTGTCTCTCATAGTTGAGGTCTACCTATGATGCCAATTACAGGCCTCGCTCATCTTTTTAAGTGGAAGAACTTGTACAATTGGTGGCTGACTAAATACTTTTTTCCCCCATATATATATATATATATATATATATATATATATATATATATATATATATATATATAATATTGAATATGGCCAAAATTGTAGTATTTCATATATATACTGTATATGGCAATGTATTTGGGAAGAGTATTTTCAAAATATATTTTTCTTCCATGTGGGATTTTAGATTAATATCAGATTTAGGATTGGTATTGAGATTTTTTTGACAATTAAAAACTGAGGATGCACTCTGGAGCAATGCATCCTCAGAATTCACAGCATGACTTAGACCGGTTCAGAGCTTCTGTTGTGAACATTTGAGGATGCGTTGGTCCCTAGGGGAGTGTTTAAGGGTTGTGGTATAGTGGAAGATTAGAGCTGTGGGCTATTTGGAAGTTTTTTGGTAAGATTTGCTTTGCTAAGGTGCAACAATACACTGTGGGCCGAAATAAACTTTAAATGACATCTTGCGTGTATTTCACATAATATTTATGAAGAACACAATACTCACAAGCCAAGAAAACCTAACGAGCTTGGAACATGGGTCTAATGGCACTGTCCTTCTATTTTGTTGGTTTTAGCTATTTCGTGATTTCCATGAAATCGATGTGAATGTTTATCTCGTGGGATGTCAGGGTAAGAAAAAGCAGGTCAAAAATAAAAGAAATGCTACATATTAAAATGTGTTACTGTATGATATAAATGCTTTTTATTTCAGTTTTATTTTAGGGTCTTCATGGTAGATGGTGCTTAAGGAACCCAGGGGAGTTGCTTGGGAAATTATCTCCCTCATTAATTTCGTAAACCACAGAAGTGTTGAAAGGACTGCCAAACCACAAGATAAAAGATATAAAGATTCTTTAATTGCTCATAATTTGATTCTTTTGAAAATGCCAACACGTTTCGGGGGCCGAACATTCCTGCTTCATCAGGGCTACAAAATGAATATAAAACATACTGACAAAGGCTTGTATCCACAAATATATAGGTATAAAAATAAATACCATTACAAATA